TGTATATTATTACTTGCCTTGAGTTTTTACTGTACATTCATATTTTTACTAACATCAACATTGACATCATGGGTATTTTCTTGATTATAATTATGTTCTAAACTTTGGGAACCTTTATCATCAGTTGAATTACTTGAATCTAACGTGTAAAATCAAGTTTTCTAATTAATTATTATTTGTAAGTTGTAACTAGTATTACACGCTGATGTACCTACCACTTGAAGTAAAAATTAGTTAGTTTAGAATTTTTAGACACTAAAATAGCGGTTTTAATTAATTTTTTTGCAGCTTTTCTATATGCAGCGCCACTTTGGCTTTATTCTTCTACCAGTCATAGTTACATGCGTTGTTTGTCATACAATTAGCGGTAATGGCAATAATATAAATAATAGCAAATTTAATTTAAGCAAAAGCCAATTCAATCTATAATAAGCAATCAACAGAAAAGCAATACGCAAATATTAATAAATTTCCTAAAATTACGTATTTAATTAATAATTTACATTCTTACCTTTGTTAGTGGACGTTTATTATAAAATATAATTAGTGGATGTGGACCGTGGACGTGTGGAAAATAGTAAATACTGGGTACATTTGTATCTACTATCTATACTGACTATACTTAAATAACTGATAAGTCATTAATAAATGATAACTGTATAAACAGTGTTGCCATATTATTGATAAAAATTTTAATTTTTAATTATTATATTATTGATAAAAACTAATTTATATTATTTTCATTTTTTTTCATTAACAGAAGATGGTTATGTAAAAATCTAATGCCGCCTATAAAATACGCCCGGATGCGCCCCTAGCCCCCTAAATATTCGTCTCAGAATGTACATAATTTATTAGCGATGGAATTTTATAGCACTCAAAAGAAAACACAACATATGCATTTAATATAACTTATGTATGCAACTTAATAAAAATTTTATTTTATTTAGCTAATACATATACATATATTTAAGAATAAATGAACAACTAACATAATATGCAATGAATATTAAACTAAATTTTAAATTTGGTTTCTTTGTAACCAATCAAATTTTTAGCTAACTATTCTATATTTTTAAACATTAAAAATATAGTATATGTATTTAGTAATGTACCAAAATAATATTTAATACATTTATTTACTAGTTATTAATACATAATATAATATTTTAAATAAAACAACAGATAACTTTCATCTAAAATAATTTTCCATTAAAAAGTATAATTTAATTTTTAGTAAATATACTTATAACTTTAAAACTAATTCATTTATTTTATTATTAGGTAGATTATCCAGTAACTATGAAGAGCATTAAGACTTAAATTCAGTTGATGAATTAAAAGATAATGAGATATCCTCGTTATTCAATGTTAATGATTTTCTACAACATGGTAGAAAAAGTAATCTAATTTGTTAGTACCTGAGATCGTCTAAACGCTTATTATATACCCGATTTTGCACAAATATTTTGAGAATATGTTTTTCCATTATGGTCTAATGTATGAGACAGTTTTTCAATTCACATACAGTACAGCCACATCGCTTCCGTTGAGATACTTCTTCTGAACTAAAATAATTTTAAACATAGTTCAAACCCCTTGCAAGCAGATGATTTGTGATACATTACTGATGAGCCTAGAAAGTTCTATAAAATTAGCAAAACATAATCAACTATCTAGTGATATATAGTATTGAAAATAAAATCTAGCCC